ATTTCCGTACGTTGATGATGAAACTGTTGTACTCGTAAACAATGATATCTTCGGAATGGAATGGGTTTAAAACTAAGTGGAGGAACAAGAGATTTTTTGAGAGAGGAACAATACATAATATTTAAGTTTCCAACTCTAACCTGATTAAAAAAAATAAGACTTTCATCTGACAATTGTTTACATTTTATTCTACAAAGTTCTGAATAGACAAAAAAAGTATTATATTTAGTTCCACATTTATTATTGTTATTTATGTATCAAACCATTTAATTTCTTGGTGTATACCATTTTGCTCATCAGGGACTTTACATAACAGAAATTCATTTCAACTACCTTGATCGTACACGCGTGGTAGCGTCCTCCCAAGTCTTTGAACCCACTCCAATGAGTGTAAGGACGTGCGGTGGAATTGCCAGTTCAATCACTGCGAAAGCTCACGAATAAGCGCCCATGAGCCTGCAGGTCGGCAACAGAAATCAAGAGAGAGGAAAATTCTCCCCACAATGTTCACTCTTCCTCGTGCTTTCTTCTCCTCGCTCTCTGATGCCTCTCTCAACTCTCTCTCTCTCTCCACCTTCTCTCTCTCACCTCATCTCTGCTCACCTCTTCTCTCTTTCACCTCTCTCTCTCTCACTCTCTCTCACCTCGCCCTCTTCTCTTCCACCCTCTCTCTCTCTCACCTCTCTCTCTCACCTCTCTCTCTCTCACCCTCTCTCTCCTCACTCTCTCTCTCACCTCTCGTCTCTCACCCTCTCCTGCTTCCCTCTCGCTCGGCCTCTCTCTCTCGCCCCCTCTCTCTCTACCCCCTCTCTCTTTCTCACCTCTCTCTCCTCACTCTCTCTCTACCTCTCTCTCTCTCACTCTCTCTCTACCTCTCTCTCTCTCACTCTCTCTCTCTCTCACCTCTCTCTCCTCCTCACCTTCTCTCTCTTCAACCTCTTCCTCTCTCACCTCTCTCTCTTCTCACCTCTCTCCTCACCTCTCTCTCTCACCTCTCTCTCCACTCTTCCTCTCACCTCTCTCTCTCTCACCTCTCTCTCTCACCTCTTCTCTCTCACTCTCTCTCGTCTCACCTCTCTCTTCTCACCTCTCTCTCTCATCAAACTCTCTCCCTTTCACCTCTCTCTCTACACCTCTCTCTCTTTCACTCTCTCTCCTCACCTCTCTTCTCCTCACCTCTCCTCTCACCTCTCTCCTCTACCTCTCTCTCTCAACCTCTCTCTCTCAACCCCTTCTCTCTCTCACCCCTCTCACCTCTCTCTCTCTCCACTCTCTCTCGCTTACTCTCTCTCTCTCTCACCCTCTCTCTCTCTCACCTCTCTCTCTCTCACCTCTCTCTCTCACTCTCACCTCTCTCTCTCACCTCTCACCTCTCTCCTCTCACCTCTCTCTCTCTCTCACCTCTCTCTGCTCTTCAACCCTCTCTCTCCCTAATCTCTATATTGCGCTGCGCCTACCTTCGTGCTCTCTCGGCGCGCTCTCTTCGTAATTTCTCTTGGTATTTCTCTGCGCCCGCCCTCGATTTCAACTTTTTCTCTCCCTCTTACCCCACTTTTGGTCCCTCTCTCGTTCGCGCTCCATTTTGACACCTTACTCTTTTCTCTCTCTCGTCCGCTTTTCAGCCACCTCGCTCATTTCTCTTCTGCGTCGCGCTTGAGCTCTCTCTCTCTCTCTCTCTCTCGTCTCTCTCTCTCTTTATCGCACTCTGCTGCCCTCGTTTGAGTTATGCCTCTCCGCCTCAATCGTTCTGACCTATCGCATTTTCACTCATTTTACTTCCCCAATACTGTCTCTCCATTTCTGGCCTGTACCAAAGTGAATTTTAGATTAAAATTGGGTGCCGTGGCATCTGATTAGCCAATTGGAGCCTAGTTTGGCCGAATCAATTTTAATCTCCTGCATTCCTGTTTGATTTCCATACAGAATTAAATTCAATTGCAATCATGACATTAAATCTAAATAGCAGTGGATTAGTATGCAAAAGAAACTGGGTCAATGAAATAAACGCAAACTCTATTCTTTGGTATTTCTGGTCATTGTATTTTGGAGATATATTTAAATACAAAAATAAGGGAAACGGGTATATTAAAAAAAAAAAAAAAAAAAAAAAAAGGGGGAAAAAATATTTTAAAATACTTAAATACAAACGGAAGAAACTAGCGTATAGGTTTTGACTCTGCAAGTGAATACTATTTTTAAGCATTATAGAAGCTACTTTCAGCTGTAATTTGCATTCTTGTTAATTTTTAAATGAGTAAATCTACAATCCCAAACTTTAAAGGGTGGGGTAATTATTCGTAATAACAAAGAGTTGTTTTGTATTACAACTACAATTTTATGTTCATTTGTACAGTTAAACGACTGTTTTTCCTTTTGGCGAATTTTATAATTCGCAAACTACTGGTTTATTGTCTGGATGATTTGTTTAGAAATTACTCGTTTTAAATATGGAAATTTCTTTTATGAGTTTGTCACATTTTTTACATCGTTGTGCTGATATTTAAAAGTATACATACAAACACAACACACAATATACAGAATGAATATCGTTAAATTAAGACCTTAACCTAATCCTTGGAAACGGTTGAGAGAGTTTATTACTGTACAATCGCGAGTTTTTTCAGGGAAGTACTTGAGGAATGGGGTAATTGATACGTGTATTTATGTCTATTTTATCACTTGAATAGTTTGCGATATATAATTGAGGTAAACTGTGTTTTTGAAAACGAAATACTACATATGATTATCAGGCCAGGACCGAAGGCCTTCCGCGGCCGGAGTCAGGTATTTACTTGGTGCCGGGTGACACGCCGTGCGTTCCATGGCGAAGGTAAGCCGACGTTATCGGTTGACCATTCTGCGTCCTTATCTCACCGGGCGCATTACGTCCTGCGCAAGGGTGGCCATTAACGCCCTGACGGAAGGTCGCAGCAGATGGCGACCGAAACGTCGGCACCTTTCGCCATGGACGCCGGCGTCACCCCGGACAAGCCGAGTAAATACTGACTCCGACCGCGAAGCCGTACGCATCTTACATCTTAGCATTACGCCCTGAGGAAGGCTCGCAGAATGGCGACCAAAACGTCCGGCACGCTTCGCCATCGGACGCGCGTACACCCGACAGCTCTAGTAAATACTAAATATATTTCGTCTAATCATAGGACGATGCGCGTAAGACGAAAGCCACTGATATACAAGTTTTCATAATGCCTAGGAGGA